ATGGGGACAAAACAACGGGGCCTATGTACAGGAGGAATTGCCGATATTCGGCAGCCTTCCAAAACTCCAGGAAGTCAAGTGTTCTACACTTCCGTGAAAACTCTGCCGGTAAAGACTGGCTGCATAGCTTAATAGATGCGTTTAATGACACAGAGTTGCCACCAAAACCAAGTCGCCAAGTATGCAACAATTTTCGCATAACACCGAGGCAGACTTGGTGCATGTAGTCAATTGGGAAACAGGAAACCATGTCGATGGGCAAATCCTCGAAGGGAGATCTGCCCTTATGATGCGGTCCCTGACTTCGCAACCTAAACGACCTGTCATCACGGAGACGGCCACTGTATTGCGGAAATGTCATGCGATTCGCAATATGTTTCCCTTTGTGACAACATCTACAGCAGTTACAATTGCAATTACAAAATAGCGTACCTGTCGCATCCATAGTAGCCATTGTGGGCCTTCACTTGTCGTACATAACAGCGGGCTGGGGTGTCGCAAATCACATTGAGCAAATGCACTTTGATGACACTTTCTGTACGTGGATCGCGCAGGCCCGTGGTGAGAAGGCCCTTCAGTTCACTTACACAATCGCCCAGAAAGTCTTCCAACGGTTCGGGCTTACCAAAACCGCAGAACACTCCAACGACAAAGGGCTGCCCAACAACGGGGTGGTTAACACGGGCAAGGATCGGCCACAAGCACTGAGCAGACGCTTTAAATACCTTCATTCCGTCAATGTGCAGTTGAACGTGCACTTCAGAAATGCCTGTTGGTGGGCAAAGGCGCAATTCGTCGAGTAGGCCGCGTTCGAGACCCAGGTGAACGTATTTTCCTCTCTTCAGGGACTTGGTAACGCAAGTCCGAGGCGTCTGCAGTAGCGTCCTTGGGTCGATGGGTAGCTCCGGATGATAGTGCCGCAGCACCTGAAACAAATCCCTTGCTGTGGTCAACGACAAGTTTGCCCTCAAAAAGAATTCGCGCAAATCCGTCGTCAAGCATCTGCCTTCCACTGTGTCCACGGTCCCAGCCACTACAGGTTGTTCTATGTATTCCAGTAAATAAGGCACATACAACTCCTACCCGTTGAAACTTCCGGCATTAGTTCGGGCATTTGCAATTCCGGTGACTCATTTGCAACCAAAGACGTTGATGCGATGGGTTGCTCCTCCATAGCAGCATAATATGCCCGCCTCTGGCGCAAGAGCCGTTTGTATATAGTGCTTCGGTGAAAGCCGTAATAAGTACGCGTCATTGCAACGAATAACTACTCAAAGACAACAAATATTTGTACTTTCAACATTGTTCGCAAAATCATAAGTGAAATTATACTAATACATATGTTACTACACCTTATTAAGCATAACGAATACCCTAAATGGCATAACTTGGAAAATAAAGATGTACCAGACACAAAATGGACGCCGAATTACTTGTTAATATGTCATAAACAATCACAGGACGAGAGAAC